AAAAAAAAAAAAAAAAAAGGCCAGGTGCAGTGGCTCATGCCTGAAATCTGAGCGCTTCAGGAGGCCGAGGTGGGCAGATCATGAAGTCGAGATCTTTTGATCACGAGATCAAGAGATCAAGACCATCCTGGCCAACATAGTAAAACCCTGTCTTTACTAAAATACAAAAATTAGCTGGATGTAGTGTCACGCGCCTGTAGTCCCAGCTACTCGGGAGGCTGAGGCAGGAGAATTACTTGAATCCAGGAGGCGGAGGCTGCAGTGAGCCAAGATCGTGCCACTGCACTCCAGCCTGGGGCCTGGTGACAGAGCAAGACTCTGTCTCAAAAAAAAATAAAGTAAAATAACTACTCAAGACTGGGTAATTTATGAAGAAGAGAGCTTTAATTGACTCACAGTTCCACATGCTCAACAGGAAGGCCTCAGAAAACTGACAATTATGGTGGAAGGGGAAGGGGAAGCAAGCACATCTTACCATGGAGGAGCAGGAGAGAGAGCAAAGGGAGAGTGCTATTCACGTTCCAAACAACCCCATCTCAGGAGAACTCACGCACTATCATGAAAACAGCATGGGGGAATCCCCAGGCCCCTCCCTCAACATCTGGGGATTACCATTCAAGATGAAATTCTGGTGGGGACACAGAGCCAAATCATATCACAAGTAGACCTCAATAGCCCACTGGAAATCAGCTTAGGAAGTAATGAGAAGGGAACAGAATCAATATACTTCTGATTTAATCACTCCCACTTATGCTATCTAAAATGTGAATTATACATACAGAAAGCCAATTAGAACATATAGATTATATGTATAGAACACATGATTATAAAGATCATACCCCTAAAACCATCCACCCAAGCTGAGAATTGGCCCCTTACTGACATCCAGTACAGTTATCCCTAGGTATCAACAGGGGATTGGTTCCAGGACACCCATGGATACCAAAACCTGATGATGCTCAAGTCCTCATTATAAAATGGCATACTATTTGCACATAACCTATATATATCCTCCTACATATTTCAAATCATCTTTGGATTATTTATAATACCTAATACAGTATAAAGCTCTGAGTTTATCCTATGTAGCCTCTATTATTTTGAGGTATATTCCTTCCATACCAAGTTTGTTGAGGGATTTTATCTAAAGAGATGTTGAATATTACTGAATGCTTTTCAACATCTATTGAAATGAGTATGTGACTTTTGTTCTTAGTTCTGTTAATATAATGTATCATATGTATTGATTTAGGTATGTTGAACCATCCTTGCATCCTGGGATTAATCTTACTTGATTATGGTGAATGATCTTTTTAATATGTTGTTGAATTCAGCTTCTTTGTATTTTGTTGAGGATTTTTACATCTATGTTCAACAGAGATACTGGCTGTAGTTTTCATTGCTGTTGTTTCTTGTTAATGGACAGCTATATGGTTATACCAGAGGATTATTTATTCCAGTCTTCTCTGTCTGGCTTATTTTGATTCTTACTGGATATGTTTACTTAAAGATTCTTTGTAATTTACCTGTTGAGAGTTTCTTCCCACTCTGCACCCACCCCCCCACCCC